TGCTTTATTTTATTTTATTTTAATGCCCCTTTGCTTCTTTTTATATTATTCTATGTTTTTATTTCATTCATTTATTTTGCTTTTTATTTTTTTTCCTTTTCTTCATTTCATATCTCTTTCTTTTTTGTCTCCTTTTGTGTTTTCATTTGTCTCCTCATCGCTTTTTATTTCATTTCCTTTTGACTCTTTTTTGTTTCTTTTGAATTTACTTTTCTTTCTCCATTTCTGTCTCTTTTGCCTTCCTAAACTCTGAACCCTAAACCCTAAACCCTAATTTGTGGTTTGCAGCCAGAGAAGGTGGAGGCCCTAGAAGGACTTTCTGTCACTTCTATCTCCTGCGGGGGACACCACACAGGTAAACAAAAAATAATTAATTTAATTTAATTTAATTTAATTTAATTTAATTAATTTAATTTAATGTAAATTAAATTAAATTAAATTAAATTAATTGAATTAAATTAATTTTAATTACTTTAAATTGAATTAATTTAATTTGATTGAAGAATTAAAAGAGACGAAAAAGGAAGAAAAGATAACAGAGATAAAAGAATTTTAAAACTAGGAAAGTAAATAAAATGAAATAAAAGAAATTGGAAAATTAAAAGCAATAAAAGAGACATAAAAAAGAAATAAAAAAGAAAAAAAGAAATAAAAGAATAAAAAGGAAAAATAAGTAAATGAAATAAAAGAAAGAAATAAAAACGGAATTAAAAAGAAGTTAAAATAAAAATTAAAAAGAAATTAAAAAGAAATTGAAAAGAAATTAAAAGGAAATTAAAAGAAATTAAAAAGAAATTAAAAGAAATTAAAAAGAAATTAAAAACGAAAGAAACAGAAGAGACAAATAAAACAGCAATAAAAAGAAATTCAAAAACAAACAAACAATGCAGCACAATGAAACGCAGACAATGCCCTCTTGCTGCTGCTGCTGCTGCTGCTGCTGCACTTTGCTGCTGCTGCTGCATTTTGTTGCTGCTGCTGCTTTGTGCTGCTGCTGCATTTGCTTCCGCTGCTGCTTCTGCATGTGCTGTTTCTGCCGCTGCTGCATTTGCTTTTGCCGCTGCTGCTGCTTGCGCCCTTGCTGCTGCTGCTTGTGCTGCTGCTGCTGCTGCTGCTGCTGCTGCAGCATGCATAGTGGCTCCGGGGTGTCTGTACACCTGGGGAGGGGGGGCTTTTGGGAAATTGGGGTTGGGAGGTTTTTCTTCGGTTTTACACCCCACCAAAGTCCAAGGCCTTTTGAGCGACAAAGTCTGCTGCTGCTGCTGCTGCTGCTGCTGCTGCTGCTGCTGCTGCTGCTGCTACTGCGGGTGATGATGATGGTGGTGGTGGTGCTGCTGCTGCTGCTGATGATGATGATGGTGATGCTGCTGCTGCTGCTGATGATGATGGTGGTGCTGCTGCTGATGATGATGATGATGGTGTTGCTGCTGCTGATGATCGTGCTGCTGCTGCTGCTGGTGATGATAATGCTGCTGCTGCTGCGGCTGCTGCTGCTGCTGCTGGTGAAGATGCTGCTGATGATGGTGCTGCTGCTGCTGCTGATGATGGTGCTGCTGCTGCTGCTGATGATCGTGCTGCTGCTGCTGCTGATGATAGTAATGATGATGTTGCTGCTGATGCTGCTGGTGATGCTGCTGCTGCTGCTGCTGCTGCTGCTGCTGCTGCTGCTGCAGATTGTGGTGTCTGTCTCTCTCGGGGCGCAGCACAGCGCATGCATAACAGCAGACGGAGAACTCTACACTTGGGGCCAGGGGCGGCGGGTGGGTCCCTCCAAAACCCTAAATTAGGGTTTAGGGTTTAGGGTTTAGGGTTTTCATGAAAGTGTCTGCAGCACTGTGTCTCTTTTTTAATCTCTTCATTTCCCAACTGTCTCCCTTTATCTCTTTTGTTTTCTCTTTTTGTTTATTTCTTTTTTTCTTTTTCCATCTTTTTGTTTCTTCTTTTTTCTTTTTTTCTTCTTTTTGTTTCTTTTTTCTTTTTATTTCCCCTTTCTTCCATTATTCTTTTTGATTTCCTTTTATTTTATTTTATTTTATTTTATTTGTTTCCTTTATTTAATTACTTTTTTTAATTTTTTTTATTTCCTTTTTTTACATTTTGATTTCATTTAAATCTTTTTTTCTTCAAATAATCTCCCGTTATCGCAAATTCAATCTAATTCATTTTTCTTTTTATTTTTTATTTTAATTCATTTCAACTCATTTTAATTCGTTTTTTAATTCATTTTAATTCATTTTATTGATTTTAACTCATTTTAACTCATTTTAATTCATTTTAACTCATTTTAATTCATTTTAACTCATTTCAATTCATTTTAACTCATTTTAACGCATTTTAACTCATTTTAACGCATT